GCTGAAGGCAAAGTTTACCCTCTCGCCTTCGGTCCATGTTAGCCGTTAGTGTGCGGAAGCCAGTTGGGCCATCCTGCTCTTGAAGCCCAACAATGGCTTCTTGTTGGGACATCATCCGTAATATTCACCAGGTCGCGGCCGATGTTGGGCTGCACTTGGACTTTCATATGATTAGGAAAAAACCAGAAAAGTCGTCTCTTAGTTGGGATGTCGGGGGTACGGGACGTGCCAACCACCCTTCGAAGTATTTGAGGAGGGCCAATTTTCTTGTGAGATACTTTTTTGTGAATGATCATTCTTCTTATGCTTACTCGACTCCAAAACGCTAGAAACATTCGATAATATTGCTTCCGTAGAGACTGAACTACTAAGAAACAATTTCAATTTCGTATTCCGGATTGTAGGGTTTAAAAAAGGACCTCCCATGGAAAAACTGCTTCCTTTGCATATGAATTCATTTTGAAATTACACATTACTCAATGGTTGAACTAAAATTAACAGAAACAAGTAAACATTGAAGAGTAGGAATCATAATGATAGGGAAACAAAAAGTTTCCAAACTTTTGACGCGCCATTACTTGAAAAAAATCTTATTTCTCAAATATGATTATAGATTTTTGGAAATTATTCTTCCCGTCGTATTCTGGACTTGATTTTGTATGTAATATCTAAATTTGAGGACAATTTCGTTGTGTGTCGGCCGCGCTAGATCAGAAAAAAAAAGTTTCGGCACTACTTCAACTATTACAACCCCAAAATCTCAAAATTTTAATTTTCGTCGAAACTTCGCCTATAGGGGTATTCGATCACGAAAATGACATTCATTTTTGGCGTTGGCGCCAGTTGGCGCCAGGGTATTTTCACCAAATTCGCTGTAAACTTGTATACAGGGGTTATTTGGGGTCCTGATTACGAATATGACATTCGTTTTTAGCATTTGCACTATTCAACGCACATTTTCCATTTTCCTGGGCCCTCTCACTTGTACATATTACCTAGGACTAAGCTTAGGAGGAGGGAGGACTCCGGGTGGGTGAACCAGGCAACATGTGGCAAAAGTTGAAGCGTATAAGATCACAGGATAAGTGATTACTCACTTCGGAGCACTCTTCTCCCCAAAGGCTTAGTCCTGATCGCGAGCTAATCAGTGAGAGGGCGCAGACGAGCGAAAATAGGCGCCAAATGGCGCAGGCGGCAAAATGAATGTTATATTCGTAATCAGGACCCCAAATAACCCCTACGTACAAGTTTACAGCGAATTTGGTAAAAGTAGCATTGGCGCTAAAGTGATGCTAATCGCTCTAGGTAGAGCGACTGCATCGCGCGATGCAATCGCAGAGTCTGACCGACATCTCAACGTCACCGTATCAGACAGCCGAGAGCAATATTTGATTAACAAACACAAACGTAAAAACCTCACCTTAATGCACATATCCTCGTCATTTATTTCGCCATCAAATCCAGGGATCATGTTGACCTAAAACGTCCATCATATATGCACCATCGGCTGTGCATTACAAGCAACACCAAACATTGAGAATTTTACAAAACATTACACAACTGTTCATGTAAAAGACACACCTTAGCGGCTGTAGCGATCTTCTTGGAGTGGATTTTGTCTCCCATGTCAAGGATAGCCTTTGAGTTGGGACCGATGAACACCGCACCACTCTTTTCTAGTTCAGCAGCAAATTTCGTATTCTCAGAAAGAAAGCCATATCCAGGATGAACCTGTACTGAGAATTGAGTCGTGGTCGAGGTTACGAGAATCTCCTCCAAGAGGTGTTCAATAACCTACAGCTTGAGCGCCAGTTTGTTTCACAGCTTCCAGAATCTTATCTGCACGGAGATACGATTCACTTGTGGGAGCCGGACCTACACAAACAGCCTCGTCTGCTAGTTTCACGTGGAGGGATCCTGAGTCAACGTCAGAATGCACAGCCACAGTTCTGATGCCCATTGCGCGAGCGGTTTTGATAACTCGACAGGCAATTTCACCTTAAAATATTATATTTTTCACAAAACCTAAATTATAATATTTTTCAGAAAAAATGCTCTCTCAAAGACAAAAAGAAACAAATTAAAGTGGTATTGAGAGCCTACAAATAAAACAACTGCCAAACTTCTGTAAAGTTACTTTTGACCAGGGATTCCTGCATCTAGATACATTCTCGATACTCAATGAGCAATCGAAATCCAAGTAGCAATACCCTATCCTATTTTTTACCAGTTTTGCTTCGCCCGCTATCGCGCGCATCACACGGCAGGCTTTAGCGAAACTGGAGGACCCATGGAATATCAGCATGAGATACTCCGCGTGATAACGTTTGAGCTGAACTGGTATAGTGATCACAACTCTGTAAACATCCAGCATTTTCTTTGAA